AGACTCATAGGCTGCCACGCCCTAGCTAGCTAGTGCTTAGAATTGGCCTTGGTAGGCTAGTAGGTTAGTGCCCAGACATTGGCTTGGTTGCCCATAGGCTAGTGCCCAACACTAGCTTGGTGTTAATAGGTCCGGCACACTTGTGCGTGCCCGTCCTCCGGCCTAGCAATCTTGCCCATGCCCGGCATGCTCATACGCATTTGGCTCGTTGCTTAGCATACTTATGCATGCTCGGCCTTGCACGTGCCAATCGTGTGTTTGGCCTTGCCCTAGGCTTGGCATGCATCTACCATAGCCTCTAGCTTAGGTGCCCACCGGCATGTTTAGCTTGTAAATGGCCCGGTGTAATTACGCATGCTTGGCTCGGCCTTACATGTGCGCACACTTAGGCCGTTGCAAGCCTAACACGCACTTGGCTCAGGTGTTACCGAGCACACGAGAGCCAACATCCAATGTTGGTCTCGTGCGCACCCACCTTTGTTTAGCTCAAAAATCAATTTAAATTATTATAAAATACCAAAAAGCTATATTTATAATTAGAAACATCAATTCATATAGTTAATCATGATTAACACAACATATAATTAAAGATTCGATGAAGGCTCGGTACCAATTGAAAGATCATACATCCTATAGAGGTATAGAATAAAACAAAAATTTTCCTCCATCTAAGGTTTCCAAGATCATGTCATTGAATCAACTAATCATACATTAACACAAATATAAATAAGAGTGAAATATTACCTCTTGTAGCGTAGAAACAATCAAGCGGAAAGTAAACCGTCTAAGTGTTCGACCTCTATTGATAATCATGCAAGTTAAACACCCACAAAGGAAGCATAAAAATCATGGATGCTAGCTCCAATCTTTCAAGTATAATTGATTTGCTTTCTAAAGAAATTAGTTAGAATTTTTTGTGATAACTCAAGTTTTTAAGGAGGTATGCAATAACCCGAGGCTTTTTAAGGAGAGAAACGCTTTCTCTCTATTTCTTTCATTTTTGTCATGTGTGTGTTACTTAAACCCTTTTATCGGCTTTATCCCTTTATTTATATAAAGGGGTGGTATCTTTGTCATCCAAAGACAAGGAGTTATGACATGTATAGGCTTGTTTGATCTTATCCTTATAAATCCAAAGCCTTATCCAATAAGGCTCAAGTTTATCTTCCTATCAAAATATCTTATAGGTTTTTAAATTAAGTTTATTGGCTTAAACTCTTTTGGTCTAATTAATTTGGACCATCCAAATAAATTGAGTCAAGTATTTTAATGGAGCTCATATTAGGAAATAATTTTTCAAATTACCCTTAAAGCTAAATTAGAAAAATAATTTCCTTTTTAGGTAACTAAATTTCAAATTTGGAACCGACTTCCAAATTAGGAAATTAATTCTAAAATAGGAAACTTTTTCCAAAACAAAAACCTTTTTTAAAATAGAAAACTTTCAAAACTAGAAGCATTTTCTAAAATCTTTACTTCTCTTTTATTATGTGAATGCTTAAACTTATGAGTGTGAATCAATAAGCTCCTAGACATGTTGATAATGTATCAAGAATAAAATATACTTTTTTATCTCTTAGTACATAAATCAAGACCGGCCTCTAGCAAAGCATCATGACTAGATAATTTTCTAAGAGGATTAATTAATCCATAGTTATCTTTCACAAGCATGGTTACCATACGATTCGAGTCCTTGTGTCAATTTATCACAATGTGATCTTGAACTTAGTTTAAAGTTAATTCGATTATGGTTACATAAATTTATTCGATTCCTAAATGTCTTTGTTCTACATTAAACCAATTATGCTTTATTGATATACTCTCACTATAGCCACAGCATTTCTTGAGCAAACATTTATCAAATTGCAATGTGATAACTCCTTTAGCATAAAAGGAATGACATGTCCTATCTTAGTCATCCACATATCTCGATTAGATTCCTAGTGCACCTAGCGAATCGTCCAAATGCAAGTCTTGATTGAGTCTATCGAAACGAGTGTTAAAGTATATAAATCCTCTAATGAGATAACTATGATGACTTTAAGTCAAAGGACCAGTTATACCCATCTTGGATGAGATTCTTATAGATTAAAGCAAATGGGTTCTCATGGTGAGTAACATCCAAGTGATATATTCTCTAACATTAATTACCTAAGTGCTTGCTTTGATATCATCATATCAATAAATGTGAGATCTCCTATTACTAGCTTATAACATGAGTATAGAAAACACAAGTCTTACCATATATAATCAATCTCCTTTCTTGACAATGCTACAATTTGAAACATTTAATGATATCATTTAAGTGCATTAATGTTTGTCTTACATCTTTCGATCAACTATTAAAACAATGCATATCGTATAGACTTCTATCTAATTCTATCAAAATATAAGCAATAAGAATTAATAGAAATATTTTTTTTATTATAAAGAATGCAATATTACAATAAGTAAAAATATCTAAAGAAGGTTGGATCTTGGGCACCTACACCAACACTTATGAACTATTATAGTCCCAACTCGTGAACAAAGATTAAAAATAATTAATTGCTTCGGACCCAATGTAAGATAAATCCTTCACAAAAGTACCATCATCCCGGCACAATCTAAAGATAAATTTCTTTCCATTATCTTTGATACAAGCATCAAAATATGTTGTATTCTTATCCCCATTCGTAACCCATTTGACTCTTACTTGATATCTCAACATAATGTCATCGCATCTTATTAGGCGATCAAATTCATTTTTTTGATCCTAAAGATGAGTGGTTGTATGATCATTCCATCCCCGAACCAATTTCGAATCTAGTTGAATTATATCATCGTGTAAGACTTCCATATTTCTTTTAATATTTCCAAACACCTCCTAGATCCACACCTTCATTTGACAATCTAAGATGTTTAAACTTCGATGCAAAACCTCCATAAGGGAACCCCTTACCCTAATATCCCATTTGGTTTTTACAAAATCATAAAAATCATAATGTTGCAACCATATTTGTTGAAACCAAAACATGACATGATCCTTTCTTGGTTGAAGAAGCCGAAACAACGATAGGACAATGATTAAAAATTGTTCGGATAAGGTGTTCAATAATTAGATTCGACCAAGTCACTAAATACGATCCACTCGCTAGCACTTTATCTAACCTCTCCCAAATTCTTGAACGACTTGTATGATTATTATACCAGGTATATTTACTACCCTAATAACCCAAATATATCATACAAATTCTATCACAACAATCAATAAAGTCTGCCATTACTTGAAAATCAAATCCATTACCTCTAATTTTCTCATATGTGGACGATATAAAATTAAAATCCCCTCCCACAATCTATGGGTCTTGATTAATTAAAGCTAGACAATCTAATTCAGACCATAAATCCTGATGCTCCCTCCTATTACAACTACGATAAACTACATAAATTCTAAGCTTTCCAAAATGGATGCCCGTAATGCTTATTGTAATGACTTGTCTATGAACTGCCTCACATATCATTGATATTTCCTTATTTCAAAACAACCAAATATATGTATAAACTGGATTATGATGCATGCTAAATTTATATTTCAGAGCCTTAGCAATGCTATCTATTCTATCCCCACCCAATTTTGGGTCAATAATACCCATAAACTTAGGCTTATACTACTTCAAAAGTCTACTATAATTAATGGTATCAGTATTTCTAGTATCCCTGACATTCCAAATAATACCTGACATCATATATTTGATGAAAAAGATATACCCGGTGCTTTGTAAGCTAATCGAGTTTTCATAACACATTCTGGCTACTCTAATCTTTTCTTTCTTGAGTTTCTGAAATTTTTTGAGTTCTTCACGATCTTGAAATCCCAATTCTAAAAATCCAGACTCCCCACTGATAATCTTTGAAAGTTTTTTATTTCCTCTCTCTTTCGTCTTCAGATAGTGATCCCTGCCACATATTTATTTCTTCCAGTTCACAACCACCGACAGTATCAATTAATTCTACTCCCCTATATCACTTTCCTGTAACAGTGTATCTGCATCGTTTTTCTTCATAGACACGTTACAGCTACTGTCCATGAGCTGAGTCTCAATGACTGTCTCTCTCTGAAATAAAAAGGAGTTTCTGTAAGCAAGGTTGCAAAGGATTCCAGCAGGCCATGGAAGTCAAAGATATCATGATGGCCACCTAAATTGTTTGTTATTTGGACTACAGACCCTTATCTCTAAAATTTTCATCCACTCTCGCCGTTGATTAATTTCCTGAAGTTCAGTAGCTTAACCAGAAAAAACTTAAAAGTACATACACTAAAAATATGATTATCTCAAAGGAATCCAGTAGGCCATGGAAGTCAAAACAAAGCTACTGTTATCAAGAGACAAGGACAAGTAACGGTTTGTCTGCCATCAAAACTAGGCACTTTGTTCTCTCTTTACTCTCTGGTGCTAAATCCTGACCAAATGGGCTAACACCATCATTACAGATTCCATAGCTTCGATGGTGAAGAATACACGGTACAATGGAAGAAGAAGAAACTGAAAAAGGGTCTAATCTAACGTGTTTTGTTCATGCCTTGTGAGTAATATTTGTGAGACTTGCGAGGTGGAAGTGATTTTCAATTTTGATAATGAAGTTTCAATGTTTTGATGATTTGAATTAGAAATTTTGGAATGTGTGAGGTAGTTAGTTAGTTAGTTAGGATGATTATGAGTTTGATCAATTGATAATCACTTGTTATGCCCTCAAACTCTGTTACTAAGACAGATACTGTAATAAGATTAGAGGCTGTTGTAGTCAAACATTATGTGTGTCTGTTTCTTACTTTCTTCTGACTTTGCTTATGCTTCAATTGATTCATCAGCTTCCTTTCCCTGCCTCTATAAAATGTTTTCTTCTTTTTCTTTTTTCTTTTCTTTTCTTTTTCCTAAGCAATAGGCCTGCAGCGGTTTTATTGATTTAATTAGAGTATTTTTCATCAAAATCAACGTGTATTGGTTGCAGCTTTCCCGATGTTATGGGCAATCCTTCTGTTTTTCTTGGTGCCGGCTGCTTCAAGCCTTCACGATCGTCAGAGTGGTCCGACCAAATTTAGACACCAAGAGGTAGTGGCACGCCATGGTGCTGTTGCTACTGATTACGGTAGATGTTCAAGGATTGGGATTGTTGTTCTTCGTGAAGGCGGACATGCTATTGATGCAGCTGTAGCTGCTGCTCTTTGCTTGGGAGTTGAGAGTCCAGCATCATGTGGCATTGGTGGAGGAGCCTTTATGCTAATCAGATTAGCCAGTGGAGAGGTGCAGGCCTTTGACGTGAGCTTCTGAGGTACTGAGGATTCTAGCAACTTTTTACTAGAACTTATATGATGACCATCTAACTGAGAACAAAATATCAACACAAATAAAGGAATAACATGTTAGAATCTGTTGAAAGCTTCCACAGGAGGCGAACGGAATTTTCATTTGAAAAATCCATATTACGAATGCTTATCTGGCTGAATGTCGCAATGTGCCACGCTTTTCAGAATAAAACCATCTGTTGTCTGGAGTTTCTTGATTTGTTTCCCAGTAATTCTGTTTCTTCATATGGTTGAAATCTTTTGCACATGCATTCTCTTTCAGGCTATGCATCTTCATTTAGCGTTTATTGATTTATGACCAAGGAAAATGGGGATATGATGTAGCATGTTTTGCATATTTTTCTTACATTGCTTCTAGTGTGATAGCATGTTGTGCATATATGTCTTACATTGCTTTTAGTATGGGTTTTGGTACGGAACTTTTTGGTTACAAACTTACTTACGTACTTTTTTATTTTGCTCTGGTAGTTGGGAAAATTGATAGTTTGTCGATTTATATGTATGTGTGTTATGCTATGTACCGAATAATTTGTTCACCCATTTCTTTCAGAATATGTATAATGTCAGTGCTACTCTAAAGGCAAGTGGTGCCCTTTCCGTTGCTGTCCCAGGGGAACTTTCTGGTCTTTAGAAAGCTTGGAAACAACTTGGAAAGCTTCCATGGGAAAGGCTTGTAAGGCAAGCTAAGAAGCTTGTATGAGATAGAGGAAGGGACTTTAGCAGAATGTCTTTCCACACATTTTATTGATTATAGCTAAGGCATATATACACAATATAAACGGAAGAGACTCCTATAATGACTCCTATTATCTAGGGTCGTAATGAGCCGGAAATCTTCTATTTGTAGAATCATGTATACTAGGTAACAGAATATGTACAATATCCTATATACTAAGGTAACAGAATATGTACAATATCATTTGAAGATTATGTCCGAATATCTCTATCAGCGGATTCAAGGTTTCAGGATACCTCTGCATGCAGATGGAAAGGAGACAATCAGGTATTTTGGCGGATCACAATGTATTTACATCAAATGGTGATATCTTGCAACCAGGCGAAATCTGTTAGAACACCAAACTAGCAGACACATTAAGAAAAATTTCAAAAGAAGGAATGGAGGCCTTCTATAAAGGACCAATCAGATTCAATTTAGTAAGAGATGTTCAGAAGCTTGGAGGGATACTGACAGTAGAGGACTTGCAGAGGTATCAAGTTAGAGTTAGAGAACCAATCACCACTAACATCCTAGGCTAAAAAATAATCGGAATGCCTCTTCCTTCTTCTGGGGTGCTTCAATGATGCTTGTAAGTGTACCTCTGCTTGTTTATCTTTTTAATTAGAGAGAAAAAATAAACCAATAATCTAGGATTACTATTCCGTTTGCCTCAGATTCTGAATATTCTTGCTCAATACGGATTCCTTAAAAGGCATTTCTTGCCCGCTTGGGTTCCATCGACTAATTGAATCTTTAAAGCATGCATTCGCTATGGGGATGAATCTTGGCGATCCTGACTTTGCTAATGTAACTCAAGTCATGTCAGATACGATCTCTCCAAAATTCGCAGAAGAGTTAAAGAAAACCATTTATGACAACAGGACTTTTGATCCTGTTCGTTATGGTGGCAGGTAAGCTCCGTAGCAACTGTAGCATAACACTTATTTCTCTGAATCCTAAATAACTGATTTCTTTTTCTTTTTTTCCTAATCTACAATTCATTTTATGTTCATGCGCAATTGCAAGAACCGGTAAAGTTTTATGTTGAATTGGTGAGCATGATCTTGAAAACAGTTATCAGATGATGGGTAGTTCATCGCTTGATATGTGAATGAATTTTTCTTCAAAAGTTACTGGGTGCATTTCTAGTTCTTCACATGATTCATTTGCTTAGTGGTTCGGAAAAATGAAGACAATGGCCAATTCATTGCGTGATTACGTTATTGAAAACGGCAAAATAGTTCCCTCCAGCTTCTCCTGACTCCTTACCTCTTCATTATTGTGGCATGTGCTGAAAGATGCATTATAAATTATGCTCACAATTTATGTTCTATTCCTGTAATGTTTACCAAGTTCTTGCGTTTCGACAGATGGAACCAGATTATTGATCACGGCACAAGTCATACATCCATCGTAGACAGTGAGAGAAATGCTGTCTCCATGACCAGCACTGTGAATGCATACTTTGGGGCACAAATATTGTCTCCAAATACAGGAATTGTTCTGAATAACGAAATGGACGATTTCTCCATGCTAGGAACGATACTGGGAATGTTCCACCGCCAGCACCTCCTAATTTCATCAGGGCAGGGAAGAGACCGTTATCATCTATGACGCCTACTATTGTGTTGAAGGTCTGTTGGTTTGGGATTTCATTTGCTCAAGTTATAATTGATCCCGTATTTAGTCTTTTAGGAGATTCATCATGGCCAATGATTCTTTTTCAGGATGAGAAACTGAAAGGTGTGGTAGGTGCAAGCGGGGGAGCCATGATCATTGCTGGGACTACAGAGGTTTTGTTAAATCATTTTGCCAAGGGAATGGATCCACTCTCTTCTGTCTTGGCTACAAGGGTCTATCATCAGGTTTTTAATTTATTTAAATCCACACTGCTCCTTTTTTCCTTCCCTAATTTTAATTGATTTCTAACCTTATTTGATATATGATAAAATGGTATGCATGAATGGATCTAATTCCCAATGTAGTACAGTATGAGAATTGGACAACAGTGTATGCATAAATGTAGAACTATGAGAATTGTTCAACTATTTCTCATAGTTCTGATCTTTTGTGGCATTATAGATTGGGCCACTTATCTAACTCCAGACTAAAACTTTTACATGCTTTTTATTCAGCCATTCCACGTAATGTGACTATAAAACTGATGTGTACCAATGTAGGATGTGTACGTGCACGGTATGCAGTGTCTGTGCATGATAAAGAAGAGAGCAAAGCTTAATTTTTAACGGGTTAGATTTGATGGCTGAGGTCTGTCGCAGTCTTTGGACTTTCAGCATCTATGGGCTCCAACAATTAGGCATTATGGGTCTTTGGTATAAGACTGAAACTCTTCCTGTTTTAATTAGTTTTCAAGAATTTTGTGTTTTGCTGTATCTAATTAGGGTTTTTGCAAAGAAAATGGGTTCTGATTTGTTGATGTTGTAAGTATGCTAGTGGGTTCGTTTTGCATCACATTATTAACTAGCTTTGCATTTTCATACACTGCATAATCTCCTTGGGGAAATCCTGCAATGTGGATTGAGCAATTCAAGAGATGGCAAGGCATTTTATTGAAAAGCTTATGGATGGGATAGGATTGGATCTGGATTTTGAATGCACGTCCCCTTCTGAAAATTTCATAATAGTTTATAGACATGTGAATGAAAATAATAGAACAGCTTGTCCTTGGCTTTATCAGAAGGTTTTAGTAATGTGGACTTGTTAACGAAGGCAAAGTCAATTAGATTTGTTATAGCTTGACTTTCGTTTCAAGGAGCTAAACACTGATCTGGTGCTCAGTTCTGCAGTTGAAAATGCATGGTAGTCCTAACCTGTCAACCTATTATCTCTATCATCTAAACAGGTAGCTTTTTACCAGAAAAAGTATCTAGGGGTACTTTTTTTTGTTTTTTTTTGTCTTAACCTAATAGTGGAGGCAGAATATCCGATATGGGACAATATGTTTGTGATTGGTTCATGATTTCTGTTGATTAGACAAAAAATCGATACTTAAGCATTCAAGTATACAAACTAATTAAAAAGTAAGATGATGTTTTAAGTTGAATATGGATGATTATATGGTAACTAGATATTAGTAATCATGACTATAGATATTATTCATCTCAACCAATGTGATTACGTCTGAGAACAGAGAAAACAATAGGAATTTGATAGGCCACAAACATGAATTGATTGATTTGGAAACGTTTAGCATGTGCCAAGTTCCAACTTCTATACATGTTAACATACCCTAATTAATATAAAACAGGGGGCAAAAAAAAAAAAACCCACAATACAGAAACTGTCCATGTTCAAAAATGGACAATAATGAGTAATAAAACAGTAGTGCTCTTGACGCTTGAGTTGCTGCTAATGTACTCTCAAACGATAATTTTACTTTTGATGAAATCTATATGAACACTTCATATAAAAAGTATTGGCAATCATCTGAACTTCATTTTCCTGAATCAGGCATGTAGGATTTGCTTGTAGAAGCTTTTGCGAAAACGACTCTCTCCAAGCATCTCTAAGACTGGAATCTGGAACTTCAGAGTCAAGATGATGATCAACTACATCAGTTGTAAGGGATTTAACTAGAGTCGATCCAACTGATGTAGCTTGAACCTCATGATCAGCATCAGCTGTTATTGGTATGGTCGGAACCTCAACTCTCTTGTCAGAGCAACCACTGAAATCTAGCTTCCCAAGAATCTCCTTATGGAAATCATCATCCTGTTCTGTTGCAGAAGCTTCCCCATCAATATTGTCGATGCATACAACCTCAATTGGTTGCAAGCTTTTATCACAATTTGAAGTGGATACAGTTGATTCTGCAATATAGCTAGTAGATGCAACGGAATGGACAGCCATCTGATCATCGTCAAAGTCCTGCACAACTTCATGAGAAAAGGACTCAAAATTGTCGAATTTCACCTCATTAAAAACTAGTTCAGATACAGTTTCTGATGCCCCGATAAACTTTTGCTGCTGATCGCTTTCATCAACCCTGGCCTTCTGGTATATGGTGTTCGCTGGATCATCAACAACGTCAGCGACCCTCTTCCTCTTTTTGGTTGTTTGCATTATGTGGCTGTTGTCGTCGTCTTTCCTTCTCAATTGGCACAAAACAATGACTTGGGAAAGCGATGACAAACTATACTCATACATTGTCCAACTGCAGCTTACCCGTTGGTCAGATTGAGTATTTTGATAACTAAAGCATTTCCTAACGGCAATCACAGAGCAATTTCTGTCAATTGGGACATGGATTTGATGGTTATTGTCCTCTCTATGCCATGTTGCAGGGCCACCAGCGATTTTGCGGGTGAAATTATTGGAATCGGGGGTTTTCCTTTTGAGGTTAATGAAGATGAATAAATCTTCGCCTTGAAGCCTGTGGAAGGTGTTCCAGATTTGATTGGGTTGATGGGCGTAGAGGTTGCAATCTCTGACAGGAGAAAGGGAGGTGACGAGAGGGTTAGTGAGTTTTGGATAAAGAAAGAAGCGGACCAGTTCTTGCTCATCAGGACAGAAGCGGTAACCTTGGGGTAATTGTTGGAGGGCTAGGGTTTGTGATGGGGATTGTGTGTTTAGAAGAGACAGTACAGCCATTGAGATATTTAGAATGTAGAAGAAAAGGAATGGAATTTGGGTGAGATCTACGAAAAAAATAGCGAGTTAAGGAATGATGACAGAGAGAAATAAGAACCAATGAGTAATGGATAGATCGATCGATATTGGCAGGAAACCAATTGCTAGAAGATCAAACTCAAAGAGAGTAAGAGAGAAAGTTACTTTCTTTCTTCCTAGATAATTGATAAAGAAGGAAAAAAAAAAGAGAGAGGAAATAGTAAGTAACCGAGAGAAATAGAAAAGATCGGGAAACCTTAATTGCAAAAAGAAAATCAGAAGCAATGAATGAACCAAAAGTAATTGTAAGGTTATGCTTTCTTCCCCTCTTTATAGAGCAACAGGTTTGCATGCTAAGGCGGTGGCGGTTCCAACGGTAACTAAAGATTTTTTTTTTTTTCTTTTGTTAAAGTTTTGCTGAGGTGGCCAAGATTTAGGGTTCGTGCGTCAAAGGAAACCAAACAAAAGGAAGTGAACTAGCAAGTGAAGACTGAGGAGCAGTGAAAGAAAGGAGTTTGTGTCCATGTTTTCTGTTAACGTTAGTTAGTTAATGTTAGTAAGTGAAGTGAGCACACGTGCAGGTACGGTGCCGTACATAAAAATGGAAGAGACCAGAGTTCAGAGTCCAGAGTGTATGTGATCCTGTGTGTTAATTTGCGTCGGAGATGTGTGGGGGCTGTCTTAGTCTTTTCTCGTCTTTGGGTCCCAGTCTTTTGTTTAGTCTTTTATGCTCCCACTCTTTTGCTTAGATATCATCTTGTTCTTCATATTCATGTTCGTCTTCGTCTTCATCTTGGTCTTCTGTTGGTGTTGTGTAATACTTAAAGAGAAGCAATAACTGGTGGTGTATTAGGTTTGGTGGTCAGTCTTGGATATAAATGGTGATTTTTTATATAGGTTTGGTCTGATCAATTGGTTTTTATAGAGATAGAGATAGAAGGTAAAACAACTGGGTTCGGAATTAAATGCCTCTCTCCAATCCATTTCCATCCATTTGGTTTCTTTTATTTATGGTAAAATATGTTGGAATCGTTTGGTAAAATGTCTGATAGAGATAGAGAGAGAGAGATCATTTAGCTTCGCCTTCGATTCCAATCATTCAGGTGACATTTTCTTTTACTTCTTTAATTTCGTACTTAAAAATATTGTGCTACTTCTAGATTCAGATCATATTATTTTGAATCACACTGACACCGAGAAGTAGATATGTTTTTCAATCCAACTTTGCAGCCTTGGTGCGTTTGGAGTGGCATTTGTCAAGGAAGTTCATCAGAACGTAATTAAATGCAAACAATAGCTTCAGGCAAAATTCAGATCATATTGTTCCAGGAGGCAGGAAAGGTTACAATTTATTCAGAAATATACGGAGAAATCTATGTTAGTCTGCAATCTACTAACAAGTAATAATTCCTTTAGTTTTCTAGTGGTATGGATTTACTTTTAGCCAAACAAAGAAAAAATTTGTTCTTGTGACAAATCAATTGTGAATGTCATCGCCCATGACAAAAGAAAAAAAGGAACTTTAAATTCATCCAAAAAATGTTCTGTTAAATTTTGCCATCTACTAGCATATGTTATACATACGAAGAGGACACATAGCCAAACTGAATGCCTGATGCATACTTGATTTGTCTTACTTCAATAACTTAAGTTGTAAACACTTTCACACTCACACACATATATACACAAGCTTTGTACGAGCAAATGGTGCTGATTGCAAATTTTGCTGTCTTATTATTAATATTTATGCTGCTCGTGATGATCTGATAGAAAAGACTTTTAGGATGAGCTAGTTGAATTTATTATTAGGGAACTAGTTAGTCTCAAGTTTGGCAACTATGTATGTTGTTTAGACTGGTGGGGGTGTCTGTTGTGTATGCGCTTCGCCTTTAGTTCTACTTTTGGAAGCATGGAAATTTTTGGCTTCTTCAGCTTGGTTTAAAGCCTTCAAGCCATTGATCCGAAGTCAAGTTATATTCTGATCTGGAATAAAGTCAAGTCTTTGGAGCAAAATATAGGCTTCAGCCTCATAAATAAGAAATGTACAACGTGATTGAGAAGATGTTGGAGGAGTTTAAAAAAGAAAATGGATTTTGTTTGTTCTGGACAGCAAATCTGTATGGCATCATTACCTTGAAGCAGGGACAGATAATCGGATTGGCAGATATCGTAATCAGAAACTTGTACAGACTATTGATATCTATAAGAATAGGTCTTGATCAGATATAAATGTTGTCTGCAAAATTTGGATGTATTCAAGATTTTGGACCAAGAGGTTGAACTTTCATCTCTGTTACAGCACTGTCGCGGGGGAGGGGGCGGGGAAGATCACTATGTTGATATAAGATTTTCAACTGAATATCCAATTATCATGTCAAAAACAAATGAGGAGGGCAGAAGTTTTGGTTAGTATCTGAAACTTGTTTCCGCAAAATCTTTATTGCTACATGGATTTTATACAATCAAACATAACCTCCGATCATCCCCTTCGTAAAAACTTAGTAGCTAATAACCCATTGAGAGGATCAGGAAAATAGATACGATTATTGATTGATCCACCACAGGCGTTTCCCAAACCAGGACCAAGTATGATTTCATGGGTGAGGAATTTTGAAACAGTCCTAGTAGAAGCAAATAACATTATAGTAATTCCGTTGAACCAACGACATTCAATCCATGGAGATTGCATTGACGGAAAGCCATGCAAAATTCACTAGCTAGGACCATTCTCTTGAAACAAGCCTCTTATCTCTAACCCGAATTCAACTCTGTTAGAAAAAAGGATTTGGGTCGGATCACTCATTATGAGTTGATCCGACAACAAAATTATTAAAAAACAATAAAGCGAGCATCCGTTATGTAATAGTAGAGGAAATTATCCCCTTCAACTCCCATATGTGTCTAAGAGAGAAAAAAGAAAAAGGATAAGATATATGAATATAAAAAATATAAATAATTTGCTAACATAATAAAATAACAGAGAAAAACTCTCATCAAAACAATAAAATAGAAGAGATATTGTATTGTACTAGGAGTGTGGAATTCAAACAATGATTTAATATTATTGTCTACTAATCTAGTGAAACTATTTACATGTAAGTGTTATTTGAATCACAAACTTATTATTTACATTTTTATTACAAGATCCTCCAACAAAATGAAGTGTAACCACTAGAAATATAGTAAGATCTCGGTTTATATCTCCTTTATAGCACAAATTTATTGGATCATCGGGGTCATCGACACGTTGTAGCTTCCCATCAAGATGTTTCCTTACTTCATCATGAAGATTATGATGAATACTTCAATCATAGAAATAATTAGGATCGAAATAGTTATCCGTAAATAGTTTCACTAAATCATGACAAGTAATATTAAATCATTATCTTTATTTCTACAATTCAAGTGCTAAGACAATCCTTCTTGCTTTAGTATTCTATCCACAAAGAGTATTTTTATTCTGTCTATTTTTTATTTTCTCTTATTTGTCTCTCTTCTCTCTCACTTCTTTTTTTGCGAGACGTATATATATATAGGAGTTGAAAGGAAACAATGTTTCCTTGTAATCGCTTTGACATTTATTATTATTACACACACACACACACACACACACACACACACACACACACACACACACACACACACACACACACACACATATATATATATATATATATATATATATATTTTTTTCTTTATCGAATCGACTCGTCATGGGCGACCCGACTCAAATTCTTTTATTTTTCTAACATCTCCTACTCGCACATGACGGGTTAGACCCGACGCAAGGCTCTCTGCAATATTGATAGTAAAATAAGAAGGTATATTTTCATACAAGTAAATGGATTGTGCGGCTTAGCGAGCATTCCTACATTTTGAGAGTTTATTATTATGCATCCGTTAGGAATAACATAGCAGACTACTACCTTAGATTAATGAACGATATATGAGATATAATATATCGTAAATCTCGTAATACCCTAGATGGTTCCCCGTATGAATATCTCATTATATCAAATCCCTTAATCGGTATTAATCTGTTATCATATTGTATATCCATAATCATGTCCATACTATTCCCACGCAATGCTTATTTCAAGCGACATGATTGGCCGACCTATGAATATGCCGAACAAATCTTCCTTTGTCACTCGAAATTCTTAATTTAGAGTTTAGTCGCTTTTCTAGACAAGTTTATAGATCGAATCACACATGATCATAAGTAGCTAGCTAAGATAGCAAACACCACGCCTAGATCTCGAATAGCAATAAAAAGTGATAAGGGTATTATCTACGGGATATTATTATTCCTTTAAAGATCTCACATAATGAAGAAGTAGGGATTCATTCTCCCACTATCTTTTACGATTGTATTAGCACATGTGCTACGAATCACATGCGACGAGTGTTCCCGATCATCATATCTTATACACATAGTTCATTTGTTGAATGTAAGAGACTAACCTAAGTTCTCATGGTGTTTTCTATTAGTAGGTTTTAATCATCGAGATCTCAAATCTAGCTTTCGGAGGTTATTTGGATCGAGCTTTCCAAATCAATTGTGAAAAAAAAATATATATTGGTTTACAATCTCATCTTAATTTTATAATTAAGACGACACTTTCTTAATCTTATCACTACTCTACTAACTCTTAATAATGCTAGAGGAGTATTTTCTCATCTCTACTCGTTTCCATTAACGCTAGAGGCGATTGCTCATGTGAGAGAGCCAATCTAAACTCGTGTGACATAAAAAAGATTGAGCTTTATAAAAGTAACATACATAATATGTAAATATATATATCACATTGCATTCATAATAAAATATTATAATATACAAGCTCAACTCGTTCATTATCATGACAAAGTTACAATCTACGCATTCCAAGAGATTTAACATGTCTAAGATACACATCTCTTGGTATGGGTTTCGTGAGACAATCTGCTATCATTTGATGCGTAGATATATATTGTACTAACAC